TAAAGTAACTTGCCCAAATTACTGTTCTTAATCAGCTAACTAGGTAACTAGTCATCTGATGAAGCAGGGATTTAATTCGAGGTCTGACTGCAAAATTTTGTGCTTTCCATTATTCATGATGCCACGTTTTGTGCTTTTCAAACAGAGAAAAAGGAAAGAGGAACTCAACTGCCCTAATGAGCACCTGTTGGAAAAGAATGAGGAAAGAGAAAAGCATTGAGAAAGATTAGAGATTAATAAAACTTCAGGGCTAAGTGAGGAAAATGGGAACGTCCTGCCTTACCCATTCCATCTGAGTAAAAGAATGAGGTGATAAAGCAGAGAGAGACACTAGAAAGCAGAGCAACCAAGCAGAAATGAGGGAGAGGTCAGCACACTCTAGAGTTCAGCTTTCCACACAAGAGGAAATAGCAAGGGAAAGGCATCTGTAAGCCTGGACTTCATAACAGAGGCAGTTTCTTATTAGTAAAGACCAGGATTCCAATGTATGTATCTGCCACTCTGTTTTGCTGCCCTCTTTTGAACTGTCCGTGAGATTTCCTGTTATGAGGCAGATCTGCTTTCTTCTACAGAAGCTGAAAACGAGAAAGTTTCTTTCCCTCCCTTGCAAGTTAGGCATGAGTCCATGACCAAGGCTCTACTAATGATACACACCTAAATTTCTGTCTACTTTTCAGAGGCAGCAATACCTACTACTGTGTACTGTTGCTGTTTACTAGCTAAGTCATGTCAGACTCTGTGATCCCATGCACAGCAGCCCTCCAGGCTCCTCTGTCCATGGGATTACCCAGGCAAGAACACTGGAGTGGGCTGCCACTTCCTTCTCCAGGGGATCTTTCCGACCCTGGGATCCAATCTGAGTCTCCTGCTGGGCAGGTGGATTCTTTACCACTGAACCACCACTACTGTGTACACCTTAAATTAATTCTAAAAACAGGACTATGTTATCAGTTCTGAGGAAGTTTCAAAGCAACAAATTATTTCTTAGTTCTCCAACAGTATCAACTGGTCCAATTCTGGAGGATGCCAACTCTGATTATGACTAGAAGTGGAGTCTGCTAGGCTTCTACAGAGAAATTTACTCTTTTCCCTTTTATAATGAGAAGATATTTCATGGGGAGATTCTCAGAAACAAACAACTTAAGTATGCCATTCTTAACCAAACTTTCAGATTGTTCATGTATTTTATATACATCAACATTTTCAATAGCTATGAAGATGGGCATGATTTTGTTCCTTAGTGCTAAGCCCTATTTTTATGATTAATTATATATTTTGCCCAAATTCCCTTTTGTTAGGTATCAATATCATAACTGTTTTTTATTTGCTTGAGTATCTTTTTTTTTGTCCTGACTTTTCTATGTAATTTTGTCTTAGGTGTACCATACAATCAGGTTCTCTCTTGTGTTACAACCTAATTCTTTCTCATTTATAAATTAGTCCATTTACATTATTGATATGAAAATTTTTCTTATTCCTATCATTTTGTTACTCTGTATCTATAGTTTTCATTTTATTTTGTTTTTCAAGTAGTTCAACTGCACAATCGTTTTCCTTTTTTCTTAAGTATTAATTCTTTTTTTACTAAGTCTGTCTTTTTTGTTCTAATAGCTAACTTTATAATTACAACCTTACAGAATATCTTCTGTTTGTCTTTTTAATAGTATTTACTAATCTCCTATCACGAGTAATGATAAAGTTAGTGTATTTATTTGTTCTTCCCCTTTCCTTTCCTCTTCGTAATCACCCAATTATTTTTTTGTTATAGAGAGATATATTGATAATACTAACAAAAATTATAGAAGTGGGCATAAAGTTAGTACACAGCTTTATTTTTCAAAATAGCTAGAAATCATATTATATGATGATTCATTTGACCTGACAAGAGGTAATATTGCTTTTTTTTAAAGTCATTTCTACTGAGATGAAGTTTACATGCAGTAAAACTCACTCTCTCTGCCCTTTTTGGTGTGTAATCCTATGTGATTTGATAAATACACCAGTTATACAATCACCACCACAATTGAGACACAGACAGGATTGATGACCACAAGCCTCACCATTCAATTTTAATCAATAGTATCATTTTAATATTACCTTTGTAGTGCTAAATGTACTTATAATGCTATTATTTGAGTTGTCAATTTTAAGCGACATAAACAGCCAACCCTCAAATTATGAAATAATGAATTCCATAAATTCCTATTAAAGATAAACCCGTGTAGGTATTTTGACATTTTTAGTGTATAAAACATTTATATCTATGCTTCAATCCTAACAATATACATTGGTTTTCAACTTAATTCCTTGTAAAAATATGCACTGGTCATGATCTAACATTTTCCTGGTTTTCCTCTTGATTTTTTGGTTGGTTTGATGTAAGTGAAGTGAAGTCGCTTAGTTGTGTCCGACTCTTTGCAAACCCACGGACTGTAGCTTACTGAGCTCTTCCATCCATAGGATTTTCCAGGCAAGAGGACTGGAATGGGTTGCCATTTCCTTCTCCAGAGGATCTTCCCGACCCAGGGAAGATCGAACCCAGGTCTCCCACATTGTAGGCAGACGCTTTACCATCTGAGCCACCAGGCAAGTTGGTTTAATGTAAAAGCACTACATTTCTGATATACAATTGGTAAACTAATAATAAGCAGAAAGTAGTAAATCCACTTTCAGTAACTCTACAAAACTTAAAATTTTATTTTTTATTTTTTTATTTGGCCTCACCACATGGCATGTGGAATCTTAGTTCCCCAACCGCGGACTGAACACAGGCACATAGCAGTGAATGCACTGCGTCCTAACCACTGGACTGCCAGGGAATCCCCACAAAACTTTACTTTTATTAGTGATAACAGCAGAAAATGAGCACCTCTAAAGTACTGTGGAATTACTTGGTGGTTAGGAGAGTGAATACTTGAGTTATTGGCTGACTATGTTTTATAAAGGCCATGCCAGTATATATAAAATAAGACATAAACTGAACCAAGATTCCTGTAAAAATAAAGTGTGGTCCCTTCATGCTTACATAGTCTTCAATAGTCTGTTTCTCATAATTCAGTTATTCTTTCTTAAATCTTTACACTACTAATTGCTTAGTAAATCTTTCATTAAGAAAAACATAAAACTTTTGTTTGCAATAAAAGAATGAGCATCTAGATGACTGATGATATTCATCAAAGCATGCTCAAATACACAAAATAGGCTAGATCACTTCATGTTACTCATTTCTGTCTTTTACTACTTTTTTGATTCTGTTGATAAGTAACATTCAATAGCACCACTGATGCAGCTGAATGCTGACCTCTCTTTAATACACCCCTAGAAAATCTGAGTACTAAAAGCAGCTATATAAAAATATGGAAAGAGATAAACTTATGTGTCTCTATTTTATTCCTCCGATGATGGAAAATAGCTCTGCCACTGTTTTAGCTATAACCTCTTTATTCACAAGGCTGTAAGTTCTTAACGAATTTCATCGAGAATTCAATTTAAATGTATTAAGCTGCTGTCAGTCCTTCAGTAAGATCAATGAACACCACTCAGGGAGGTATGGAAACAGTTTTCTGAATCTTCCCTGAAACAACTTCAAGGCAAGAATGAGATTCAATAAAATGCACTTTAGTAAAGAAACAATAAGGAACAGTGCATAGAACATGAATACTACAGTCTGGCAGATCTGTGTTTAGAAAAACAAGTTCAAGGCTTGATATTTAAATGTACCATCCAGGACATCTATGATTCTAAAATCTCAACGGGCTGTTGTGACAACTATATGTAATACAATAAATAAAGGTAGACTGTATTATTTGGCAACTAGTAGACAAACAGTAGATAATATTAGTTTTTAATCATTAAGTATAGTTGTCATAAAAAAAAAACCCACTCCAATTATTGAAAGCCAATTATTACAGGGTAAAATATATCTAAAACATTCTAGCCGCATTCATGTCACAGATCAGAAACATATCTTGAAATGGTCGCAGAAAATACAGTGATAAATTGAGAGCATTTTGCAAAAGAAAGGCAATCCACTTAAATGCTATTATAAAAAGAACTCAATTGTACTGGAGAATTTTCTGTGCGCTTTCTGTTTTGGTTTTTACTGATTTTTACTGCCAAGTAATTTCATAGAACATGAATGGGCAGAAGGCATATGTATGCTCAAGTGCTTTATGATATCAGTTCAAAATGTATCCTCCTTTTCATCTACTTTTATATAGCAGTTTTATCAACTATACTCGGACCACAGAAATGACTAATTCTAAAGCTTTGAGAAAGGGAAGGTCCAGGGACCTTCACCTATGCTATCAACAGATGCTATTCAACTAAGTTTTAATGATTCAATGCAACAAACATGTATTATGTTCTATCTATATTCCAGGAGCTGTAGAGCTCAGTAAAGAGCCAAAGATGAGCAAAACATAATCCTGAGGACACTATGTGTATACAACTGTTTACAGCAGAAAGTCTATGAAACACAATCTCACTGAGTATGCAGACAGTATGATTAAAAGTTCACCATGGATATGAAAAGGAAGCCTTCCACATTTATTGGGATCTATTTAAAAATACTGACTGGTATGCAGTACTTTATAAATTTAACAGAAACCAATATTTAAATGTTCTTGTTAAATCACAGAGAAGACAGGTTTATACATTTACTGAAGTCATGGAAAATTTGCTACCAAAGTGAATGATTTCCAACCTAGTATGAAACATTGTTTTGGGGAAAAACAACAACTAAATGTCATAAAAACAAACAAATCAAAACACTCACGTGTTCACGAGAATACCATTAACTTGGGAGTCCTGCATATCTTATATTAATATAATGTTCTACTACCAACAGTACACTAAACAAATGTCTTAAAGCTTCCTCTAATGGAAATATCTTTCATCTCTATTGGGAACTTTCTCAGTCATGCATAGTTTATTTGAAATCCAAAGGTTCATTTGGTTCTGCCAGACTAAAATTAGACTACTCGGAATTTTATACTCACCCGATCCTCCTTTTGCCAAGTATTTGTTCTTTGCATAAAGGACAGAATCTAACATAGACTCAAAGAGAAGAAAATAGCCCTATATAAATAAAAAGGAAAAAGTGGTTTTCAGAAATGTGCAATATCATCATAAGCAGATAACCTGAAATATCTAGGCTACTATTTTAGCAAAAAATAATTTTTTTTGTCTCTACCATGTAACAGTCTTCAATGTTTGAAATTACTTTTTGCAGGAAATTCTCCATGTAATAATTAAATCAAGCCAGGGTACAAAGTGGATCCAGAATGTTTATTACAGTAGAACGTAATGAACCTTCTCCACCTGTGCTTCCCACTTCCTAGACTATTGTTTCTTCCCCATTAAAAGGAAAGTTTCACAGAGAAATTGCTAATGTACTGTATAACTTCCTGGAATACTGCAGTATGAATCTGCAACCAATTGTTCTATTTGCCCCCAGAGGACATTTTTGATTGTCACAACTATTTGGGAGGTAAACGTCCTTTACTGGTAAACATCTACTGGCATAGGATGGGCTCCCCAAACAAACGTATGTCTGATCTCAAATGTCTATAGGGCTAAGACTGAGAAACTGGTCTAGAATATCTTTTTCCAAAGTTATTTTCTGCCCAAAGACATTCTCTTTGAAGAGTTTTTTTTTTTTTTTTTTAAGAGGGGAGGGGACTTTTCATCAAAGAAGTGAGGAAGATCAGATTCTCTATCCTCCTCAGAGAGATTCATAATGCACAACAGCACATTAACAAGTTCTGAAAAGTGTTACAGTGAAGAGTATGGTTGAATATATTTTAAATAAGTATTGCCCACTTTTTGACTAGAGACCTTTCTTTCCCTATGTAACATGTATCAACATCTCACACCACTCAGCAGAGTTGTTGTTCAGCAGTCTGAAACACATTGCGTGAAACTTGGCCCCAGTGCACTCCAGATTCTGGAGAACACCACTGACTCGTTCACCAAGAAAGGATAATCACAGCACAAATGAAAAGGTAACTCACCCCCACAGTAAGTCCCCTACACATGAACCAGCTGCATTCTGAGAGCACGGCTGTAAGTCCAATTTGTAAATCCAACAGTTAGCCTAAGCAACAAGCTAACACAACTGGCTATGTAGTACTGTAACAGGTTTATAATACATTTCATACAAATAAAACATAAAAAGCAAAAAATTAAGAAAACATTTCTACTCTTACAGTAAAGCAACTTGAAAAGTACATTAGTACAGTGTGATAGCTGGGCACATTTGAATCTTTCAGAGTTCGCTACTTGAAGGTTCATATGTAGGGGACTTACTGTATCGCTGTCACATACACAGTACATTCTAGTAGTATGCTACAGTTTATTATAGAAGTGATAAAGTAATTATAAGTGAGAGATCAAAGCCAGTTTCTATTAGTCTTCTTCTGGGGCCCATCTCCCAATAGCCCTGAAAAGTAGAGAAAGTTAAGTCTTCAGTACAGTACTTATTAGCATACAGTAAACCCTATTATTGCTAAAGGTGAATGAATAAGAGTGTTACCTTCATGTCAGCATTGTGAAACAAAACTGTTTCATTCATTTGTTCTGTGCACAAATTAAGGGTCTAACAAGATCAATATACAACACAATGAACGATGATGTTTCAAAGGTTTCTCTACTAACAGAAAAACCTGCAAAACTAGAGATGGGTAATTTTCCCAAGAGATTAACAGCAAATTTAAATTTACAGAAAATACAGCTCTCATTTTGAATCACTTATCACGGAACCTAATTAAACTGCTGCTAGCAACTCTACACTGGCATTTATCTTTTCCCCCCAACTCACTCATTTATTGCTAAGAAAATAACTGCTTACAAAACACAGACTTAGCAACAGATCTTGTATTCATGCGTTTACTTAGGAAAATTAAGGATCTGGACTTCCCCAGTGGCTCAGACAGTAAAGATCTGCCTGCAATGCAGGAGACCCAGGTTCAACCCCTGGGTCCAGAAGATCCCCTGGAGAAGCAAGTGGCGACCACTGCAGTATTCTTGCCTGGGAGATCCCACGGACAGAGGAGCCTGCCGGCTACAGCCCGTGGGGTCTCAGGGAGTTGTACACAACCGAGTATGCATGATAACGAAAGTGACAATAACAATGGTATTCTATATCACAGTGCTATTGCGAGACCTAAATATGTTAATAAATGCAAAAGGGTTTACAGCAGTAAATCTTATCAGTTTAACTAAAAAAAATTAGTACTTAAAAATATATTTGTAAAGGCTGAGATTTTTTAAATTATATTTAATGCATTAGAGAAGGAAGGTTTACCAGATTCTTCAGAATCACAGAGTATTTATTTAGTGAATGGTCCTTTATTAAAAATCCTTGAGTCAGAACTAAAATTCCTTTTCTTTTTTCCCCAGGAGTCACTTTTTTCCAGATTATCCAAGACTATGTATGTGTGTGCATACAAAAAATAAAAAGACCCTTCTTTAAAATGTTTGAAATTTCTTTAAAATTCATAAACAATTTTAAACCCAATCAAAATAATCTGATCAGGCTGGCCAAATTAGTGCCAATTCCACTTCAAGGTTCTCAGAAAGATTTTTTTCCCCCTGGGTTAAAAATGTCAATTTTTCTTAATCCTCTGAAGTTTGGTATTTATACTGAAGAATTTCCTATATGTCTACTTCCATTCAAAATAAAAAATACCAACAAGCCCTTTCCCACATACCCCATAATGATTACCCAGAATCCTGATCAAACAATATTAGAGAGTGCTTCTGAGCTTCTAACTATTTAAACAACGTGATTTTCTTATCAGAGAAATCAGTACTAGCAAGGTTAAGTGACTTATTTTAGGATATGTAGCTGGAAAAATAACTCCGGACAATCTTCAGATCCCATCATAAACACCGGCTTTAAGATTCAATTCCAAATGGTGCTAACCAAACTCAATCTGAGATAGAGGGCAGGCAAACAAAAGTAGGATCATCATCCCTGGAAGCATGAACATCCCTTCCTAGATGCCATGCCTTATGTCACAGATTTCAGAGTGAGCCAACATTACTAGGTAGGAAAATTTCTGAAAGCAAGTAATCAAATGCTTTTGTTGATACATTTAGCACAGTGCCTGGCACAGAGTTAACACATAAAACCTATTAAAGAGTATTGGCAGAAGTCATATGGGGTCTGCTACTATGGGATGGAACTGGGCTAAAATGGTAGAAGCAGAAGGTTTTTTTCTTTCCCCATTCCTCTCTCCCCTTCCTTTTTCTCTCTTCATTGGTGTATAATTAAAAACAATACTTTAAAGCTATTTCTTTAACTTTGGTTTTTAAAAATAATTTTGTTTATTTTGGTTGTGCTAGATGTTCACTGCTGCACTTTCCCCTAGTTACAGCAAGCAGGGCCCACTCCCCAGCTGTGGTGCACGGTCTCACTGCGGTGGCTTCTGTTACAGAGCTTGGGCTGTGGCGGGGAGTGGGCTTCAGTACTTTCGGACCCCGGGCTCTAGAGCACACGCTCAACAGGTGTGGCAAATGGGCCTAACTGCTCTGTGGCATGTGGGATCTTCCCAAAACAGGGATCAAACCTGTCTCTCCAGCACTGGCAGGCGAACTCCTCACCACTGAGCCACCAGGGAAAACCCTGTATCTATTTCTGATAATACCATTTTTCCTTTCTGTAGCAAGATATTTGAATGGACATGAATTTGGGCAAACTCCAGGAGACAGTGAGGGACAGGGAAACCTGGCTTGCTGCAGTCCATGGGGTCACAAAGAATTGGAAAGGAATTGGCAACTGAACAACAAGTAAGATATTTCTAGTATAAGTATATGACAAGGGCTTTATTCTGTCAAAGTACTTTTCTAAACTTTACGGTAAAGATCAACTAAACTAGCAAATCAGTAGAATAGCATTTCTTCAAAACAACAAAGGATGACCCATGTTCATATTGAGCCTGTCTACTAAATATGCCACATTATTATTATTATGGTCTAATTGTGCAGCTAGAGGGCTCTTAGTTCCCCTATCAGGGATCAAACTTTGGCCCTGGCAGTGAAAACGCTGAGTCCTAACCACTGGCGTACGTGCGTGTTCAGTCGGGTCTGGCTCTGCAAACCCATGGACTGTTTAGTCCACAAGGCTCCTCAGGACATGGGATTATCCTGGCAAGAATACTGGATTGGGTTGCCACTTCCCCCTCCAGGGAAATCTGCCTGACCCAGAGATTAACCTGTGTCTCCTGCACTGGGAAGCGGATTCTTTACCACGGAGCCACCTGGGAAGCCCCTCTAACCACTGGACCACCAGGGAAAACTCAAGCCACATTATTTTATACTTGATGAAGACTGACAATTTCACTAGTCATTTATTTCACTTAGTATCTGGGTATCTGTTCACCTACTACCTCCTCAAAAAGGATTTTCTGGATTCTCCATATTAAATATCTTCTTTCCCCACCAAACTCCATCTCTTTATTCTGCTTTATACTCTATCATGGCACTTTAATGAAAACTGGTTATTTTAAAATGCTGTTTTGCTTTCTAAAATTAATTTTCAAATAGTAATAGTGGTAAATATCATCACAGTAATATTAAGTGTCCTTTATGGAATATCTTACTTAATTCGTCCCTAAAGCACATGTTATTATTTTCATTCAGCTGACAAGGAAACTAAGGCTTAGAAATGTTAAATAATCTAAAATCATAAGACTTAAAAAAACAGCTTACAGTTAAAGAAACAGTTGAATGAGTCAGAATTTGAACCCTGGTCTATCTGTCTATAGAGGCCAAGTTCTAAGTAACTATTCTATGTTGCTTCTTATTGATTTACCTCAGTAAAAATAAGACTTGGTATTCATATTATAATGGGGCTTCCCAGGTGGCTCAGTGGTCAAGAATCCCCCTGCCAATACAGGAGATGCAGGTTTGATCCCTGGGTCAGGAAGATCCCCTGGAGGAGGAAATGGCAATACTGTCCAGTATTCCTGCCTGGAAAATCCCACGGACATAGAAGCTCAGTGGGCTATAGTCCATGGGGTTGCAAAGAGTCAGACATGACTTATTACACACATTTGTATTACATTATACCACAT